AAGTACAATGCACACCTAAACTTCAAAAACTTTTTTTAGTGTATGCCCTCAATGATGCACACCCCCATTTTTTCTCTAAACTTTGAGAAAAAAGTGAAAGAGGTAAGCTGATGTAAAACAGTATATGAATTAGTAATACATCTGAAGCAGGCAGTCCAATTCTTTTGATGAATACTAAAGGAATTAATTTTTGGAAATACACATTTTCCTACATGACAACATATATACAGTGAATAGATTATTTTTTCCTTATTCTGTACATAGTGTATATTATGTTTAGTTTACTTAAAATGTAAAAAAGAAGAAAAATATATGCACAGTATCTGCAATATTATTAAATCTATGTACACCATGTCCATGTCCCTCCTACTTTTCATGAAAAATGCATGAAAACGTAATTTAAAGAAAAATAAATCATATATAGTTGGTACCTTGCAATTCAACCCTCATCCATTTCAAAACTAGGGAAAGCTTTCAAAGCAGTCATATTGCAAGACACAGCTTCCTTATTAAAAATATCAGTACAAAAACACCCAAAAAATTGGCTAAAGCAGGCCAAGTTGCAAGGCAAGGGTCAAATTGCAAGTTAACCTCCCCACAAATTCAACCCTTGAATTGAGGGACAGTCAAATGGCGTGAGGTCAAATTACAAGGCACCACTTGTATACTCATATGCAAATTAATCCTATATATTCTAATCTTCAATAATGGATGCTGAATAATTTAATAAATTTTTTGCATATTCATTGATCTCCCATTCTGCCTTGGAAACTCAGTTTGCAGGGTTCTCTGCGGGTTCTTTGAGTGACAGGATCATTGACAGCAAGTCAAAAGTTGTCATTACTGCAGATGGGGTCTTTCGAGGAAAGAAGCTCATTCCACTCAAGTCTATTTGCAATGAAGGTGAGGATTCATGGATTTCAAGAGCATATTTTTCCATATTTACATAGACTTACTAATATTCCCATTTTTTGAGAAGCTTATTTTTAATAGATTGTTGTATGAGGTGTACTTTGTGTGTTGGACAAATTTATCTCACATGTAACTGTACTGCTAAACTTCATGGTATTCTAGCTGAAATATTAATGAGTAAAAATATTTGTGAGTAAGTTCACAATTTGTAGTTGATACATTTTTGTACCAATGGGTTTTATTTCATCAAGATTTTAACCAAATACACTTGGACCTGAATAACTCAAACCTCCCCAAGTCAAATTCCTTCTTTAATTCAAATTTTTTTCAAGTCATGGTCTGAATCCATTTATAGGAACAATACATTAAACACCTCCCTGATGCAAAGGTTTCTCCTTTCAAGCCTCTATAAGTGGAAGTTTCTGAAGCCTCTTGGCTATTTTTTCATTGACACACGCAAGAGAAAAGCAATAAAAATGCAGTTTGAGATGTTTTGAAAATAAGTGAAAGACTAAATTGGGCAAATGAACTCCTGCCTCCAAGTTCAGCATCATCCTATAGGCTCACTGAAAAAGCAACTTGAAGCCCAGCATATCATCAGCTACAATTTATATGCAATTTTCCCATGTTTTCCACGAAAATGCTTGGTTCCTTAACTCAGACCTCTATGATTCCAAAGCTCCTTAAATGGAATTTTGTTGCTGGTCCCTTGAAATTCAACTGTATTATATACAGTGAGACCCCCACATGCAGACACCTTGACCTGCAGCCAATTTGACATAGGGACACTTATTTCCCCATAAAGATTAATAAAAAAGGCCCAAAATGAGGTGAACATATGGACATTTTGTGATAAAATTGCAAATACATTTCAGGACAAATTACAAGAAACAGATATTTCCAACCCTAAAATGTATGTGAGAAAAGTTATTGGGTATTTCTCTCACAATTTACCATCCATTTAGCTAATTTAAAAAAATTANATTTCTCTCACAATTTACCATCCATTTAGCTAATTTAAAAAAATTACCTCCAGCGTAGAGCGACTTCCTTCTCTCTTTTTCACTTGAATGTTATTTTTACAGAGAATGCCAACATTTCTATGTACTGTACAGAGGTATCAGTATTCAATTCCCCAAATGTCCATATTGCGTTGAAATATATTGATTGGAATCAGTTTAAATTGAAAGACAATTTTTATTTGCATTCAATTATGGTGAGTATCTTGTACATAAAACACCAATCAAAAATTATGTAATGTAAATCTAAGGGAAAATGAGAGTCAACTTTGGGACATTTTGACTCAGGGACACTCTTGATGCACCAATGACATCCGCATCTTGGGGTCTCACTGTATATATTTTTCAGTGATATCCCCACCCCTAAATTCCATGTAACTGAACTGCATAAAATCATCTTCTCCTTGCTTCATTCTAATTTTTTTTTAATTTTTGCAGCCATCTTCATCTGTGAGCAGAATAAGCAGCACCAGGTGCATTCCGTTCTGGTCGTGCCCCACTTGACCACGCTCAGTTCCTGGCCGGGGGTCAACCGTGACCCCCAAGGCCGGATGCAATCCTATGTGGAGCCTGTGAGTCGCCCGGTTGTCGACACGAATTTTTCAGTGACATATTCCTGGGCTTTGCTTGATGAGTTTAAGCGTTCAGCTGTACTGGGTTGCAGGTCGGGACCTGTGGTGGGACGAGGAGATGAGTCTGGTCAGTGACTGGTGCGAGCCCGTGTGGCTGGATGCGGACGACCCCATGTTCCTGCTCTACACCAGGTATTATAATGAATGCCACTCTCATTATATATAAATCAGCAGAGGTTTCTCTCTCTTTTCTTTTTTTACTGATAGAACCCTGTACTGTATATTTGTGAAAAACAAGGTTGATGGTGATATTGGATTCCTTGAAAGAAATTTTAACTTATTGCAGCTCTTGCATATAAATGTAGAATTGTAGAGCAACAATAACTCTTACTATGAATAATGTTTTTACTATACAGGTGGTGCTTTGCAATTTGATCCTATGTACTACCTAAATTCAGTCATGAAGTAATGAAGATACAAGTTGAACTGTTTCAGAAAAAAATGCACCAAAAAGTTTGTAGATGAAAAAGTCAGATAATGAAAATCCTGAATTCTGCATTGAGCTTGATTATAGACAAATGGAATAGTTTCAACCATCCCAGAAATTTATGAATTACACAATGTACTGTACAACATTTCATGTGTCTTTTCCCATTGTGGCCCTCATAAAGACTCAACACAATTTCAATTTGGCCCTTGGCCACTTCTGAGTTAGGCACCAGCACTGCTATATAGTTTGTTGGCAGGTAAGGGTTGAATAGTAAATCAGTAAAATTGTGAGACAATGTCTAATTTGATGTTAACTATATCAAATGTGACCTTTTGAGTCTCTCTCTCTCTCTCTCTGCAGATAAAATTGTGGGGTAAGAGGTCAAAGTGCAAATTAAATGTCCCAGAAAATTTGACCTTCAAATTGTGGGATGGTCAAATTGCCAGGTACCACCTATAACACCTATTTCTTGGTCCTGGCAGTTTCTCAATAGTCACATCAATGTTATAAAAACCATATATATACTTTAACAAACTCATTTTATGATGCAATATGTCATTTTAGCACATTTTTGTCTCTGATTTTGTGCATAGGCTATACAGGAAGCATTTGATATGTGCTATAAATATGAGAAAAAAATGAAAACTTCATCAAAGAGGCAAAACTTATTGAAGAGAAAACTTGGTGTTAAAAAATACACATGAAATATATTTTGTGTAAATTCTCCAGTTTATAGTTTTTGTCTTTCCATCAAATATTGTGTTGGGAAAAAATGTTCCTCCATTAAAAAGAACAGTCAAATGCAAATACTGTACATACATTGATTTAGAAGGAAGTGCTATTCACATTTATTTTTTCCAGGGCATCTTCATATCTTTAAACTGAATATAGGATCATTTGGAATCTCCATGCCTATTTTATAAAACGATTTTTATAAATTAACCTTTTGGCATTAAATATTTCTTTTTTCAGTGGGTCAACAGGAAAGCCCAAGGGGGTGATGCACACTGTCGCAGGCTACATGCTTTATGCTGCAACTACTTTCAAATATGTGTTTGACCACAAGCCTGAAACGGACATATTCTGGTGCACAGCTGACATTGGATGGATCACTGGTCATACTTGCGTTGTCTATGGTCCTTTGCTCAATGGCGGAACTTCTGTTTTTGTAAGATCCGCTTTTTCTTTCATGCTTATTAGAAAGACCGCAGAATGTTTGATATCGGCCTAAAGCCATTTTATCTTGCAATTGAACTGTGATTCACAAAATTAGATGTATGCTATTTTCATCCCATCAAAGGAAGCATAAATCCTGCGCTCATTCTGGGTTGTTGGTTGATTTTTGGCCTGGAAATAGCATTGACATTATGTTTCTGAGGATGAGAGCAATTGCAATTTACTTCAAAATCCCCATGTGTCCCTCATATATCTGACATTTGAGGAATTTGGATTGTGTAAAATTGAAAATGTTGTATCCTGCTGATTTAGCATGCAGATAAAGCAACGCATTGTTGTGCTTTCCTCAGAGAACTTGAAAAACATACAGTTAGATGTAGGCTAACTTAAAACTTCACTGTCAAAGTTTCCAGTCTTAAATTTTTGTGAAGTCTCTGACTGATTTCACCTGAGAACAGTCAAGTGCAATATGTATACTATGCAGCATTTTCCTTATTTCAAAAAATCTGTCCCATCAAACCTCTGTAAGAATAACTTCTTGGGATTTTTAGACACATAATGTATTATGGGGACCAAGTGCATCAACCCCTGTACAACTGACCTCCCACACAAAACATTTTTGCACAACAGACTGCCTCTGGAGGCAGTTTTTCTCCTGCCTAATGGACAAAATCTGCCCAATGGACTTCTGTGACTTAAAATTATCCATAAAAAGTAAGCAGTTTAATTTTTGTTATCCAGGAAACGCTTGGGTTTGTTTCAAGGATCTTTTTTAATTTGCAACTTGCTTCAAGGAAGCGCACAAGGTTTTCTCCCAGCAGCTGTTTCCTTGTTTTGAATTTTCTCTTCTCACATCACCCCACAATAAAAGCGTGACACGCTTTTGCTCCATTTAAAGGAATGTCTAATAATTGAATTTGCATTACATACTTTTCACATAACAGACTATAATCTGTTGCATGAATTAAGTCCATTGTGCAGGGGTTGTCTGTATATAGTATAATACAATATACAAAAGGAAAGAAAATAAGACATTTTATTTGAATTTCTGTTTGAAGCAATCCTATTTGAAATTTGAATCTTCTTTTGGTAGCTGGAAGGTGTGCCAACACATCCCCATGGGGGTCGGATTTGGGATATTGTTGACAAATACGGAATCACGCATTTGTACACTGCGCCAACTGCCATTCGGTTACTCATGAAGCTCGGAGATGCACTTGTCAAGAAGTGAGTCACTTTGCTGACAATAATTGTTTGCCTTATACCTGCATTTTCTCTCTGGAAGTGAAAAATATTTGTCAGCCCCCCCCCCCACCCTCAGTTTAGCAATTGACATAGCTGGAAAAATTCGGTTGAAGGCCAAAGTTGAGTGAAAATATTACGGTTAATGGGTGGACTCTCTCTGTAATAAAATTCAAATAACGAGGTAAGCATTTGTTGTGGAAAGAATTTTGTTTTTGAAAAGGCCTATGACATGCAGAGAGAAGCCTATGGGACTAAAAATAATTCGTTGTACAGACAGAATCGCTGTAGAGAGAGTCCACCTGTCAGACAAGTGGTCCAAAAAGTTTCTAGACACTTTTCAAGCACCAATATTTCAAATATGGAGATTTCATCCTGAGATCTCCATACTATTGCCTTGATACCTTTTTGGTACATTTATATTTGTTTAGAAATAGTCAAGGTTATGCAAGCTAAACTTTACTTGCCTATAGCATTTATAATGTTTGAAACGTTTATTGATACAGTCAACCCCCGTCTAACGGACGTGATTTGTGCAAGGGACAAGTCTGTTGGACGAAAAGTCCTTTACACAAATTCAATTAAATAAAAAATTAAAAATTTCAATTTTCAACACTAATTTTAAACCAAAAGAAGTCT